CCTGCTCTCCCGGCTGGAAGCCTCCGACCTGGAGGGAATGGTCCCTCTCAGTCTTGCGCCCCACCCCTCTCACATGGGGAGACCCCCTCCACCAGGGAGCGGGGGAAGATCCACCCAGGCCCGCTTCCTTTCCTAGCTCTGGCAGGGGAGGGCGGTCACCCACACCTGCAGCCTCCTCTCCTCCTCCCCCAGCCACCTCCCTGCAGGCAACGGCTGGGTCTGAAAGGACTGGCAGCCGGAAGGATCGAGCTCCTTCACTGGTCCCTCATCCCTTAGGATCCAGGGTCTGGGGAAAGCGGAAGTGGGGTCTGGGAAGGCCAGGAACGGAAGGCCTGGGGACGCAAGGAGCGCTGGGCCTGGGACGGAAATCCTGGCGGTGGCATTCCTAGGTCAGATGCGGTCGTTTGCATAAAAGCCAGAAGCCGGTGCACCTGGGGCGGGAGGTCTCCTGGGAGCCTCCCTGGCTGGGGGCGAGGGGAAGCGAGGTGTCATGGAAAGTCCCCGAAGGACACGGTGTTGAGTTTGCTGTGGTTTTTGTGTTTAACTCCGTCCTGCCCTGTGAGGCAGGCAGCTGCTTCCCTGCCCCCCAGAAAAACTTGCGCACACCCGGGAGAGAGCAAGCAGTGGAAACAGGGCTGTGGGTGCTGTACGCCCCTCCTCCTGGAGCAGCCTTTCCCAGCCCTGCAGCCCCTGCTCCGGCCCTAATCGCCTGAATCGCCGGCTGGGGGGAACAGGGGCAGGTGTCACCTCCTCCCCAGCCGGCAGCTCGGTCCCCAGCCACCCCCGCTGGAAGGACATGCTCAGCACCTCCGCCTCGCCCCCGCGGTCCTGGGAGCTGCGCGCGTGTGCGTGTGTGTGTGTGTGTGTGTGTGTGTGTGCAGCGGCCGGAAAGGGCCCAGCAAACCCAAGTCTCAGGCCAGAGTCCCCCTCCCGCAGACTCCTGGCTCCAGTCCCGCCCCGCCGCCCCTGGGTGTCCCCAAGCATTCGGCTTTCCGAACCGGGCCTGGGGTCAAGGATGTCCCCGTCTTTCCCGCTGGGATCCCAGGGGCCCCAGAAACCAGGCCCTGCTTCCGCCCGACCTCCGCCCGGAGTTCCAGCCCTGCCCCCAGAGGCGGGGCGCGGACGTCGCAGGCTGGGCC